CTTCTCCGCCGCTAGGAGGGCCTTCTCGAGGAGGTTGACAGTGAGGGTGGTGGGACAGACTGAGAGGAAGTGGTCCCTGACTACGCGCAGGGAGTCAGGGAGACGAGTGACTATGTAATAGAGAGCGATGTACATGGGGGGGGGGTTCTTGGCGCAGAACTCAGCAGGAAGGGCGGCGCGGTAGCGAGTGTCACTAGTGCGGAGGTGCGTAACGAGGTCAGCGACAGTGGGAAAGGCAGTGAGGTCAGGAAAGAGGTACGGTAGCATGAGACGGCTCAGTGCAGCAGTGGCAGGGGAAGAGTAGCACGCAACTACAGCGTCGTACAAGGTCTGAGCACTCTTGTACTGACTAAAGTGCGCGCGCTCAGTGGTGGGCAAGTGGCGACGCACAGCAAGACGTGCAGCAGCATCGCGAGTGGCCCACTGAGACCGAACAGTGGGGTCAGCATCAGCAGCAGGGGCAGGGGAGGCGCCAGAGGTGAGGTCAAAGAGAGAGAGACCGTCCGCTCTATCGCACTGTAAAAACAACTGCAGGTCGTCGACCCAGACCTCAAAGTCAATGGCTCGACCCTCAGCGTCAAAAGCGAGGACACTGGGGGTAGCCATGACGACAGACTAGCAGTGCAAGCAGCGGGGAAGGGTACTCAGTAGCAGTGGGGCGGTGCCGTGCTCACCAGACAGGACAGGTCGGGCGGTCCGGTAGCAAGGCGGCTCGGCGGCTCCTGGGCGGCTCTGCTGCTGCTGGGCGGCTCGGCTGCTGCTGGGCGGCTCGGCGGCTCTTGGGCGGCTCGGCTGCTCCTGGGCGGCTCGGCTGCTGCTGGGCGGCTCGGCTGCTGCTGGGCGGCTCGGCGGCTCCTGGGCGGCTCGGCTGCTCCTGAGCGGCTCGGCTGCTGCTGGGCGGCTCGGCTGCCGCTGGGCGGCTCGTCTGGTGCTGGGCCGCGTAGGTAGGGCGGCTGGGCCGCTGGTAGGGCGGCGGGTGGGCCGCAGGTAGGGCAGCGGGTGGGCCGTAGGTAGGGCGGCGAGCAAGCCGCAGGTAGGGCGGCGGACGGCCGCAGGTAGGGCGGCGGGTGGGCCGCAGGTAGGGCGGCGGGACGGCCGCAGGTAGGGCGGCGGACGGCCGCAGGTAGGGCGGCGGGTGGGCCGCAGGTAGGGCGGCGGGACGGCCGCAGGTAAGGCGGCAGAGAGCCGCAGGTAGGGCGGCGGTAGGGCCGCAGGTAGGGCGGCTGGTGGGCCGCTGGTAGGGTTGCGGGTGGGCCACAGGTAGGGCGGCAGCAGGGCCGCAGGTAGGGCGGCGGTGAGCCGCAGGTAAGGCAGCGGTAGGGCCGCAGGTAGTAGGCGGCGGGGCCGCGAAGAGGAAGCGGCGGGGCCGCGTCGAGGAAGCGGCGGGGCCGCGACGAGGAGGCGGCGGGGCCGCGATGAGGAAACGGCAGGGCCGTGAGGAGGAGGCGGCGGGGCCGCGACGAGGAAGCGGCGGGGCCGCGTCTAGGAGGCGGCGGGGCCGCGACGAGGAAGCGGCGGGGCCGCGAGGAGGAGGCGGCGGGGCCGCGACTAGAGGGCGGCGGGGCCGCAACTGAAGGGCGGCGGGGCCGAGAGAAGGGCGGCGGGGCCGCGAGGGGAAGGGCGACACGGAGGGTCGCGAGAAAAAAAAGAACGCGCGCCTCGGGGCGCGCTTCGGTGGGCCCTAGAGAACAGTCCCTAGGATGGGACCTGCTCTGATTCCATGTGAGAATAAGAACGTGAATGGATGAACTATGAAATGTGTGAGTACAAGTACCAACCCTAATTGGGTTGTACCCCCTATGGGATACCCCACTATAGCCTACACAACAGCATAAGCTATAATGTTCTGACAGTAGTGGCGGCTGCTCTAGGGGCGGTTGTTGCAGTGGCGTCTGCTCCAGGGGCGACTGCTGCAGGGGCGGCTGCTCCAGGGGCGGCTGCTGCAGTGGCGGTTGCTCCAGGGGCGGCTGCTGCAGGGGCGGCTGCTGCAGTGGCGGCTGCTATAGTGGCGGCTGCTCCAGGGGCGGCTGCTGCAGTGGCGGCTGCTATAGTGGCGGCTGCTCCAGGGGCGGCTGCTCCAGAGGCGGCTGCTGAAGTGGCGGCTGCTCCAGGGGCGCCTGCTGCTGCTAGGCGGCTCGGCGGCTCAGCTGCCCGCTAGGGGCGGCGACGGGGCCGGGTAGGGGCGGCGACGGGGCCGCTAGGGGCGGCGACGGGGCCGCTAGGGGCGGCGACGGGGCCGCGTAGGGAGGGGAGCGGCGACGGGGCCACGTAGGGGCGGCTACGAGGCCGTGTAGGGGTGGCGACGCGGCCGCGTAGGGAGGGGAGTAGCGACGGGGCCGCTAGGATCGGCGACGGGGCCACTAGGGGTGGCGACGGGGCCGCGTAGGGGCGGCAACAGGGCCGCGTAGGGAGGTGAGCGGCGACGGGGCCGCTAGGGGCGGCTACGGGGCCGCTAGGGGCCGCGAGGGGACTAGAAGGGCGGCTACGGGGCCGCTAGGGGCGGCGACGGGGCCGCTGAGGATGGCGCGAGGGGCCGTGAGAGGGGCCTCTAACAGAGGTCGACAGAAGGGCAGCCCACAAGGCACGCCTCGGGCAGGAGCGACTGTCGCTCTAGTTGGAAAAAAAAGTTCCAGTGGCGGGCTTAAGGAAGTGTTCCCACTAGGGAACCTGCTCTATACCATGTCAAGAAATGAGGAAATGAATGAACTAGCAGGCAGGTGGGTACAAGTAGGAAAACCTAGCGGTGTTGTATCCCATATTGTCTACCCCACTATAGCCGACACAAACTACAGCATATAAGTTTGACATTATGAGGGTTATTTTTTTTGTGGGTTCCAAATTGTCGGTGGGGAGTTCGCTGGTTGACATCAAACGTCCCTGCCACGCAGTATCATCCTATTGGGCATTTCTCTCCTGACAGTGTGGAAGTCGGTTCGGCGAACGTGTGGCGCGTCCAGGTTCGGCAGTCAGTCTCGATTCACAAGAGTGGAGGAATGGAGGCTTGTGGGGTTGAACGTGGCGACACAACACTGGCTAGTGTTTTAACCATTCTTTCGTGCGTGCCAGGCGCATCTACAGAGACGTTACCGTGAACTTGCACTACACAACTTCATCTGTCGGACGACTCGGTTTAGTTCTGTCGTTCTGAACTAGCTTCCCCGTGCGAGGACTTACGACAGACACGTCATGCAAGAATGCATGCGAATCGTTGTGTTGGCGGCGGATTCGCGAGTTTCTGAACGGTCCGTTCATATTTCCAATCATCGCGCCACTTTTACATATACATGCCACTCGTCTGGGTTTGATTGGGTATAAACGATCGGGTTTTACATGCCACAATTCATATATACGCACCGGTGGAACCCACTGCCAGGATTATGCCACCTGGGACTGACAAGTGAATTGTTGTTGTTCCTAGCTGTTGTACGAAGTGTCAGGGATTCTAAGTCCATCATACTCCAACACCAGATGCAGTTCTACATGGCGTAATCATGTGCTCGCGTCTCGCCGTTAAAAAACCCGGGCAGCGGATGATCATCTACAAATTGGCGCGTGGATAGCCTAGGTGTTGTATCAGATCCACAATGGAGGAACCTCCGGCTAATGGCCGTGACATGTATAACATTATCCTGGAGCAGCTCGACATAGAGTTTGAACCCGAGGAGGGGCCTACTATCAATGACAACGCTGCCATTCAGGAGGGTAACTGGTACTCCTCGCAGGATCATTCCCTCTTTGCCTTGCTTGATGATGCGGTAGTGCATAAATACGGTTTCCACATGAAGTCTACCAGAAAAGCATAGGCGCTAGCGTTGTGCAAGAGTCAGAGGCTAGGGTTGGACCCCCCTTGTCCATGGCGCTGCAGCTAGGCTCGTCTCGAGCGGAACGGACCGTGGCAAATCGTAGAGCTGTCCGATCCCGCAGAGCACACATGCGACCGTGTCTACCGGACCCGGTTTTGGCCCGTAATGGGACGTAAGAGGAAGTACCTTTGGCGGAAATTCGGCAACTTTGTCCGTGCAGCGCCATTCAACGCCCCTTGGGACTACGCCAGGCAGATTACGGCCTGCTCTGGTCCGAAGTTAACTTACAACAACGCGTACCGGTGAGCGTACATCCGTCATAGGCCGAACATCAAGGGAGCTTTTCTTCCAGCATCTGTGTTGCCTCCACTTCACTCATTTCCCGATACCACCCATACATTCCACCCACGCAGGCTGAAGGTAGGCATCACGGCGCAGCGATTCGGCGACTGGTGCGAGTCATTCCGCTACATTCCGGCGGTGCAAGAGCCCATTCGGCAGATCGACAGCGGAGCAACCGTGGAGCTTTTGACTTACAGCCACGAATTTCTCCGCTTCTTCGTGGCGTCGAGTGCAAAACGTAAAGCACTGAAGACGTGCAGGCCTATCATTGCACTGGAGGGGACTTTCCTTATCCGTGCTCGGAAGGCTACTCTGCTGTACGCCAACGCGATGGACGGCAATCAACAAATCATCCCGATCGCGTGGGCGCTCGTAGAGAGCGAAACCAAGGACACATGGACTTTGTTTTGCCGGCTCTTTGATAAGCACTGCTCCGACTGGAAGGGACGGGACGACGCGGCTATCATCAGCGACCGGGACAACGGTCTCATCCCGGCAGTGAAGGAAGTGTTCCCTGAGAAGGTGGCGCACAACTTCTGTGGGTGGCACATACAGCAAAACGTGAAGCGGTTCGGGAAGACTTCCGCAGACATGTTATGGCGGATTTGGACAGCCCGGTCTTTGAGCAAGTACAACGAGCTCAAGGTCGGTGCAGGGGAATCCCATCCCCTGCTCACGACTTACCTCTACGGTGCAGCGCCAGTGGCCGGGCTGGGCCAAACCCCACTCCACCAGCTGGCCTTCGTATTCGCCAACGCAACGTTCAGCAAACACGCCGGACGCGTGCGACCGCCAAGAACATTGCGGCCGAAGCAGGCGGCGTGCTCGCCAAGCACACTCGCAGCGACGCGGCCGCTAACAGAGACAGGGCGGCGCAGGACGCCCACCTCCGAATGCCGCAGCGGCATGACATTTAGCAGCGCCCCGCCCGTCCACAGCACCGTCGCCCGCTGCTGCGACCCGCCAAGCCGCTGCACATGCATCGTCCGCAGCGCCCAGCCCATCTGCAGCGCCAGGGCCGTCCGCAGCGCCCCGCCCGTCCACAACACTGTCGTCCGCTGCTGCGACCTGCCCAGCCGCTGCACATGCATCGTCCGCAGCGCCGAGCCCATCTGGAGCGCCAGGGCCGTCCGTAGCGTCCTGCCCGTCCACAACACCGTCGCCCGGTGCTGCGACCCACCCAGCTGCTGCACATGCATCGTCTGCAGCGCTAGGGCCGTCCGCACCGCCCCGCCCGTCCACAGCACCGTCGCCCGCTGCTGCGACCCGCCAAGCCGCTGCACATGCATCGTCCGCAGCGCCCAGCCCATCTGCAGCGCCAAGGCCGTCCGCAGCACCCCACCCGTCCACAGCACCGTCGCCCGCTGCTGCGACCCGCCCAGCCGCTGCACATGCAACGTCCGCAGCGCCCAGGCCATCTGCAGCGCTAGGGCCGTCCGCAGCGCCCCGCCCGTCCACAGCACCGTCGCCTGCTGCTGCGACCCGCCCAGCCGCTGCACATGCATCGTCCGCAGCGCCAGGGCCGTCCGCACCGCCCCGCCTGTCCACAGCACCGTCGGCTGCTGCTGCGACCCGCCAAGCCACTGCACATGCAACGTTCGCGGCGCCCAGCCCATCTGCAGCGCCAGGGCCGTCCGCAGCGCCCCGCCCGTCCACAGCACCGTCGACCGCTGCTGTGACCCACCCAGCCGCTACACATGCATCGTGCCCTGCGCCAGGGCCGTCCGCAGCGCCCCGCCCGTCCACAGCACCGTCGCCTGCTGCTGCGACCCGCCCAGCTGCTGCACATGCATCGTCCGTAGCGCCCAGCCCATCAGAAGCGCTGGGGCCATCCGTCGCGCCCCGAGCGTCCACAGCACTGTCACCCAATTCAGCTACACGCATATCCGGGGCACTCGCATCATCCGCAACGCCGTCACCATCCACTCCACCAGCTGGCCTTCGTATTTGCCGACGCAACGTTCAGCAAACACGCCGGACGCGTGCGACCGCCAAGAACATTGCGGCCGAAGCACGGCGGCGTGCTTGCCAAGCACAGTCGCAGTGACGCGGCCGCTGACACAGACAGGGCAGCGCAGGACGCCCACCTCCGAATGCTGCAGCGGCGGGGCATTCAGCAGCGCCCCGCCGGTCCACAGCACCGTCGCCCGCTGCTACGACCCGCAAAGCCGCTGCACCTGCATTGTCTGTAGCACCCAGCCCATCTGCAGCACCAGGGCCGTCCGCAGCGCCCCGCCCGTCCACAGCACCGTCGCCCGCTGCTGCGACCCGCTCAGCTGCTGCACATGCATCGTCCGCAGCGCCAGGGCCGTGCGCACAGCCCCGCCTGTCCACAGCACCGTCGGCCGCTGCTGTGATCCGCCAAGCCGCTGCACATGCATCGTCCGCGACGCCCAGCCCATCTGCAGCGCCAGGGCCGTCCGCAGCGCCCCGCCCGTCCACAGCACCGTCGGCCGCTGCTGCGACCCACCCAGCCGCTACACATGCGTCGTCCGCAGCGCCCAGCCCATCTGCAGCGCCAGGGCCGTCCGCAACGCCCGGCCCGTCCACAGCACCGTCGGCCGCTGCTGCGACCCACCCAGGCGCTACACTTGCATCGTCCACAGCGCCCAGCCCATCTGCTGCGCCAGAGCCGTCCTCCCACCACCCCGCCCGTCCACAGCACCGTCGCCCGCTGCTGCGACCCGCCCAGCCGCTGCACATGCAACTTCCGCAGCGCCCAGGCCATCTGCAGCGCTAGGGCCGTCCGCAGCGCCCCGCCCGTCCACAGCACCGTCGCCTGCTGCTGCGACCCGCCCAGCCGCTGCACATGCATCGTCCATAGCGCCCAGCCCATCTACAGTGCTAGGGCCGTCTGCTGCGCCCCGCGCGTCCACAGCACTGTCACCCAATTCAGCTACACGCACATCCGGGGCACTCGCATCATCCGCAACGCCGTCACCATCCAATCCGTACGACCCATCTGCTGCAACAGGTTCGTTTGAACAACGGTTTGTCAATGCGCCCCTCCGTTCGTTAGTACCATGATATGTGTGGTAGTAACGACTACATCCACGATGTAATCTCTACATATTTGTGTTAAGGTCTCATACATGAGAGGCTGTCTTAAAGTGATAGGGTACTGCTCATTTGGTACTGTAAAACGCACAGCCAGAATTTCCGTTTCCGTGTCCCTATTGCAGCCCATTTTGCAGGAACAACCGCACCATCCTATTCCCAACCGGAGCCACCTCCACTTCGACGATCCTTACCAATAGTCATGCGTAGCGGATGGCGAGGAACAGCTGCGTGCTTTAGCTTTTGCAACTTTGTTCTGAGAGCTGCGGTCCCGGGAGTCACCCCACCAACTGAGGCACCAAACCGAGAGCCACCACCGACCAGGGCACCCACCCGCCAGCCACCACCGACCGCGGCAGCAACCCGTGACCCTCCTCCTCCCACCGTGGACCCGGGAACGGCGCTTGGGAACACCAACGAGGAGAGGCCTAGCGTTGTAGAAGATGAGGCGACCGTCGTGGAAGAGGACTCCCTAGAGGACGGTGAGGATGGTGCGGGTCTGAAAAAGCCTTCGCGGTGATTACACTGCACGCAGGAACAGAATCTGGGTGTACGAGAAGCAGTGGGCTCGATGTGTGACACCAACGAGAAGATTCGGCATCTACACGAGCAACATGGCGGAGTTGACCAACGGGGCCGTAAAATCCATCCGGCGCCTGCCCTCCGCGTATCTGTTAGCATCAATGTGGGACTACAACGTCAAGAAGTTTCATGAGAGGCGTGAGGAGGCTAGAGCCCGGGATGACTACTTTACGGAGTGGGGGAGAAAACGGTATGAGGAGAAGTGCGAGCGGGGAAAGAACTACGAGGTGAAAATCTCCAACATCGAGTTCTTCGCGGAGGTGATAAACAACGGCAACGCGACGGACCCAACCCCACGCAGCTACAACGTCGACCTATGTGGCGAGGGTAGCTGTGAGTGCGGCAATTGGAAAGAGTACGATTTTCCGTGCGCACATGCCATGGCGTTTTTCCCCTGGGCAAACAAGAACGGGTGGGAGTATGTCAGCGACTACTACACCACAGTCAACTGTCAGTAGATCTGCATTGTGGATGCCCGATTGATCCTGGAGAGGGTTACAGGTGCGTTCGCTTGGGGGGTTATAGGCGCTCTGACCCGCTACTGAAACAAGCCCTTTTATCCCAATGGTCTAGAGGTTGGGATTCTGACATGGTATCAGAGCGATCTCGGGTTCGATTCCCGGTGTATGCACATGTAGGCCGTTGCCGCTGTGCTTGGTCATGGGCCTCCCAGTATGGGGGGGTGTTAGTAAATCTGCACTGTGGATGCCCGATTGATCCTGGAGAGGGTTAGAGGCGCGTTCGCCTGCGGGGTTATGGGCGCACTGACCCGCTACTGAAACAAGCCCTTTAATCCCAATGGTCTAGAGGTTGGGATTCTGACATCAACCTCCGCCGCACATACTCCCACACCATTCCCGGGACCGACATCGTCACCCTGATGGCATAGACAACACCTGTGCCTCAGGGAGTGTCTGACACGCCTACATTCACTCGTAGGGGTCCTCGCCATCCCCCTTCCTACAGGCGCAGGGATGCTCTTCCGGCGAACTATCGCTACACAACCTACTTGGGGCCTAACCACAACTCAGCTACCTGCACCCAGAAGTATGGATCCGACAGGCCTGCGGGAGGTGTTTACCACACAGTAGGATGATTTTTGCCGGATTTTAGCAGATGGTAATCGTACTACATTTGGTGCACTGAGCAGCATAGTCGACACCTAGTACCGTGGCCCTCGAGAATAATCAATGTAGCTTCCATGTGTAATTCATCAGCTACTTTGCCCACTTCGGTTTCGGGATACATCTAACAAACCCGGTACAGTCGCAATCCCAGTTGCCGTCCATGGATGTTATGTGAGAGTACGACAGCTTATGCTAGCTATGCTTGCCTGCCTTTACTTTATGTGACAAAACTAGAACGAGGAATGAAAATGTCTAAGTGAAAGTTGGGTACAAATACAAACCAAGCTCAGGGTGGATCACAACATCACCACACATTCCGAGCACAAGGTGAAGGCCACAAGGCCAGTTCACATGCAAGAGTACACATATATATAAAAGGCTAGACAAGCAAGAGCAGGCGTATGTATATATGTAGCAGTACAAGCAAGGTCAAGAGGTGAGCAAGTGAGGTAAGGCAGTCACAAGACCTAGCTGAGTACAGAAGCGCTGATGATCACAAGGCGCAAGTGCCTTGGTGAAGATATCAGCAGTGTTGGCCTCAGAGGCCACGTACGGAAGACGTAGCTGACCACACAGTTGTAGCTCACGAGCAAGGAAGTAGCCAAGAGCAATCTGCTTCGTTCTGTGCTCCAGTCTCTGCTCTCGACACAAGGCTAGCATGGCCTTGTTGTCTACGTACAGCACTAGAGGAGAACGAGGCGGCTCTCCAAGGTCAGTCAGCAGGTAGGTGAGCCAGCGAAGCTCCTGTGCAGGCATGGCCCCGGCGTAGATCTCAGCCTCACAACGAGAGCCAAGAACACAAGACGAGCGGGTAGACCGCCATGAAACAGAGCCGGAACCAAGGCTAAAGGTGTAATCCTGTGACGACCGCTGCGTAGCCTGGTCGTCTGCCCAAGAAGCGTCCGCGTGCCCAGTGAGGACCACTGGACTCTGCCCTCCAAGCACTAGCCCCATGCCCGACGTACGGGACACGTAGCGCAACACCCTCTTCGCTGCAGCCATGTGCTCTGGTGTGTGTCTCCTAGGAGCAACATAGCGTGCAAGAATGCTAAGAGGGCATGCAAGGTCAGGTCGTGTGCAGGTCATCAGGTACATGAGGCAGCCAACAAGCTATGGGTACGGGCCACTCGACTCTACGAACTCATCCGAAGGCAGAGCTGAGAGCGAGTGGCGAGTAGGCAGAGGAGTGGCCTGAGGCGAGGAGTACGTGAAGCCGAAGCGCTGAAGGACCTGCTGCACCATGTGTGACTAAGTGAGGGTAATGGTGCGCTGTGCTTTGTCCCGGGTGATCTGCAAGCCAAGGTAGCTGCGCAGTTCACCCAGGTCTGTGCACGTGTGTCTCTTCTGCAGCTCGGACTTCATGTGGGCGAGTCCAGCAGTGTCAGCTGTGGCAAAGACCAAGTCGTCGACATACGTGAGGATGTAGAACGGCGGCAAAGAAGTGTCGGTGCGCAGAAACAGCGACGGGCCGGCAGTAGAGGGAGCAAACCCAAGAGCCGCAAGCGTAGTCCTCAGTGTGTCGTGCCACTCACGCGGTGCCTGGCGGAGACCGTAGACTGGCCGTCGGAGGCTCGACTGGGTGCCAAGAGGAAAAGTCCCAGTGAAGCCAGGTGGGCGGCGTAGCCAGATCTCCTCGTGTAGGCTACCCTGCAAGAAAGTAGTGCTGAAGTCAAGAGAGTGAAGCTCGTAGTCGCGCTGAGTGGCTATGTGCAGTAGCAACTGAAGAGTGGTCATCTTCGGGGTGGGAGAGAAGGTCTGAAAGTAGTCAACTCCCTGCTGCTGACTGAAGCCACGAGCCACGTACCGCGCCTCGAAGACAGGCGGAGAACCCGGCGGCCGCTTCACCCCGAAAATCCACATGCCATTGACGATGTTCGCCCCAGGAGGGGGAACCGCGTCAACGTATGTGCCTGTGGACTTCCTGGAAGCCATCTCTGCGTCCATAGCTGCCTGCCACTTAGAGGAGTAGGGACCCTCTATTGCCTCCGCGTAATAGCGCGGAGTTGAGATGTAAAGTGCATCCGGATCTCCCTCAGAGGTAAGCAGTACGGACACGAGATGAGGTGAAGCAGCAGCCAAACACTGGAACTCCTCCTGCCTCTCCTCAAGGACGTCCATGCGAAGGGTACACTCACCCCCGACAGACGGAGGACAGACAGACGTAGACACAGCAACAAGACTAGCAGCGGAGTCTAGACGACAGCGAGCAGCAAAGTCGACGAGCTCAGGAACTAGGGCACACGCAGCATGTCAGAATATTGTTCTTATGTTCTAGCCTGTAGTGGGGTGCTCTATAGCGAGTACAACCCTTCTAGGGTTTGCTATTTGTATCCCCATTTCTGCTAGTTCATTCCTCTTTCTTTCTTCTAACTTTTTTCATGGAATCAGAGCAGGTCGATCCCCTTGGATCGATCCTGTGGGTGGGTTACCACCTCGCTTCCGCTGCTACTTTTTCCTCCCGCCGTGCGCCCCGAGGTGCGCGGCGGTTCTTTGCCCGCTGTGCGCCCCGAGGCGCGCGGCGGGCTTCTGCCCTACGTCGCGGCCCCGCCCTGCGTCGCGGCCCAGCCCCTCGAAGTAGCCCCGACTGTCGCGGCCCCGCCCCTCGACGCGGCCCCGCCCTACGTCGCGGCCCCGCCCTGCGTCGCGGCCCCGCCCCTCGAAGCGGCCCCGCCCTATGTCACGGCCCCGCCCCGACCGTCGCGGCCCCGCCCCTCGACGCGGCCCCGCCCTACGTCGCGGCCCCGCCCTGCGTCGCGGCCCCGCCCCTCGAAGCGGCCCCGCCCTACGTCGCGGCCCCGCCCCTCGTTGCGGCCCCGCCCCGACCGTCGCGGTCCCGCCCCTTGTCGCGGCTCCGCCCTCCAACCAGGCCCGTGGTGGGTCCCTTTCACCACCCCGCCTCCCCCCCCCCCCCCCCCCCCCCCCCCCCCCCCCCCCCTT